AAGGATATTTTTAACTTCGTGTCTCTTACGAGAGTCCTAAGCAACGAACAAAAAAACGTTCCTCTTCTAGCCAAAATTCTATGACAAAAATGAGATGTTTCATTCCTATTTGCTATAGCTGTATTTCCATCAATTTGAATTTAAGAATAGTTTTGTATTTTTTGTTTAAAATATATGTAAAGAAATCGTTTGGACCGGTTAACCCGGATGGTTACGTCAGACGCGTTTCCTGCCCTCTTTTTCCGAAACGCGTCCGACCGATCGAACAAGGAAAGATGAAACGCAAACGTGATGAAAGAAGGGATGAGAAAGAGAGAAGAAAGAGGGGGAGACGGAGTGAGGGAGAAAGAAGTAAGATGGAGATCTTTCCTTTCTTTTCTTCCACCCTTGGAAGGAAGATCGAGAGAAAGAAAACGAACAGGGCACCGTGAACGATCGCAACGCAAGATTCATAACCACCGAAAGTAACCGAGACGAGCCGGATCGTACCGATGTACATAGGTATCAGCTGTTCGAATTATTATCGTCGTGGAGGACGGCAGATGTTCGCCAACCTGAAACGCTCCCTCGAAGGCTTTGAACCCGCTGATCTCTTTTCTTTCGGACTAACGAAAAACCTTTCCAGAAAAGCCCACCGAACTTTCCAGCTGCGTCTGATTCCGATGTGTTTCGCAGATTTCTTTTCTTTTTATTTTTCCTCTTTTCTTTTCTTCCCTCTATTTGGCATATACGCGCGAACGCTGATAAAAATACTTCATTTGCAAAAGCACATTTATCATAACTGTTAAAGTCTCATTGGAAATCTTTTTAAATCTTCTTTCTGTTATATACAACTTTCCTAAACGCATCGGCAAAATAATTCGATGACTGTCGAAATTTCTTTCTTTCTCTCGTTTTAGGGCACTTGACTACTTCGAGCACGGAGAAAGATAGTTAAGATAAAAAAATTGAAAATCATCGGATATCGTTGTTCTCGAAATTCAGAATTCTATGTTATTCAAATTTTTTAAGATAAATATTGATCGATCGACAGATTTTCAGATATATCTAAAATTTTACATTTGAGTTACTTTAAAAACAGTGAACAACGAGCAATGAGGAAGCTCAGTTTGTTTATTCAGCTCGTTTCAGCCTTGAAATGAATAACGTTCGAACATATTACCGAACGAATTTTGCTACGAGCTCTTGAGGTACAGTAAATCAAACTACAGTGTTAGAGCTTTATCGTGTTCCATATTCCAACAATTTTCCAAACGACGAACGACCGATCATAAACCTTGGAAGGCTAAGAAGTTAACGAGAAAAGTAGGGATGATTTTAACTGTTTTATAGTAAACAAACCCTACCGTTGTTCGTATCCTATAAAATATAGCTTTTTCAAGTAATTAAACTCCCCTATTTTCGATCCATTTTGTCCTTGAAATACTTTTATATTTCTCTCCTATCTCTCCCTCTTTTTTTTATATAGCATATCTAAATAAGAATATTAATGAAAAAAATACATTTAATAGATTATATAGTTCAATTTGCAAAGTTAGATAAGAAATAGAACGATGACGTTTCTTTACGTCATAAAAGAAAATGGAAAAGTTAAGCGAGTGAATTTGTAACACTCGAGCGAATGAATATACGTAGGTATACGTTGAGCAATGAAAAAAGTGGAGGATTCATCGTTACGGTAACTTCGTCACGATATTAAAAGCGAAAGTTCCGTGAGTTTCTGTGAATTTCCGTGAGTATCGCATCGCTTTCTGCTGTGACCCATCGAAGCGCAATTTTTTCTTTCCGCACGTTGATTTCTCGTTCGTTACTTCGTTCGCTATTTCAATCATTTTCGTATAACACGAGGAATATCTTCATTTTAAAAGGCAGTACACTATTTTAATCATATTTTGCGCTTCGATGATTACCGATGGTTCCTCGATAACTTTGTTGCGTATCAGTTTCGATCGTCTCGCTTTCTTCGCTCTCTCAAAAGTATTGCAAGCATTCATTTTTGTGCTCACCTGCTCGCTTTTAAAATTCCTTTATTATCTATTTCATTCTAAAGTTTATTTTTATTTTCAATATCATGTGAAATATTATTTATTTATTTCATGTAAAAAAGATCAAATATAAGTTGGGTCTTAAATGACTTCATCAGTTTCCAATTACATTTTCCTAATATTATAAGATTAATAATTCTCCCTTCTAAAAATTGTAACAGTGAAATTTGCCAAATAGGGTAATCTATGATCAACACAGGTCTTGAAGCGTTAAAATATATCTCTCTTTATCTCTTTTTTTCTTCTTGTCGTATGATATAGTTGCATCGTCTTGGTCTTGGTCTTGGTCTTACTTGTTAGTCGTCGTTGTCGTCGAGAAAGGAGACCCCATAGGTTCGTGGCACGCGCTGCCAGCTGCCCCACAGCTGTCTCTCCTCCATCGTCCCCCAAGCCCACAAAGTCCATGGTTCTTAGTCGAGCGTGCTTTGCGTCTACGCGTATCCACACAGAGAACGAACGGACGGTTTCGTTTCTCCGTTTGCCCTGCACATGTCGCGTGAGTGCGCGAGCGCGCATATTTCTGCCTATGTCAGTGCACGCGCTTATTGCACGCGCTTATTGCACGCGCGTACTGCACGCGCCTGCTGCACCCACCATCGATGCCACTGCTTTTGTCCGCAGGGCCGTCCCGTTTTTTTTCAAATCTCCATTAACATAAATCCAATAAAATACGAAGTCAGCGCCAAGTGCTCTTATAAAAGGAACCAAAATATCATTTATTTCTATCTTATTGATTCATCGAGTACTTTTCATAATTATCAACAATAAAAATGTCTTACGTAGAACATTGAAAGAAAATTGAGTGGGTCTTGTAAAATTGAAGCGTTCAAATGTTAATGTGTACGATGCTAATGTCGCCCCTGGCGATGCATACTTGATCGGCAGGTTCACCCTTTGCTCGCTGCTAAACGCAGAACGACAAAGAATACGGCCAACGGCGAGAATGGGGTAAAGAGAGGGGGCCGATGGGGAAAGAAGATTCGCGGGAAGATCCGTTGCGAAAAGTGATTCTAAAATCGTCTACCTATTTGCTTATTAAAGTCGTATCTTAACATTCTACATATTACAGCTATACATTTTTTCCAGTTCTCATAAATATAAGTAATGTATATCTCCTATGCTCGATTAATAATAAAATCAAATTGGAACTTGTATAAAATTTCTTTGCAAGATATTGCGCAATAAACAATAATATAATATCCATGTAACTGAATTGTTTGTTCGTTTGGTCAATCAATCATAATTATAACTAACAATTGATACTTCAACGAAAAGATTTATAAAGATAATCCGTATCAACCGGTTAACCGTTATTCTAGATTTGAACCGGCCGGAAATTTATACACGAAGAGAAGCTCGTACGTATCCAGTCTAACAGAATAAAAATTCGAATGTTTCCTGTTGTGTCGAAATAAAAACGATCTACAAACATCTTTGGTATGTATATATATGTAGCTATAACGCATGCGTATAATGTTATTGGAATACCGTAAGGGGCTTTATATTTGCGGTTTCCCATCCGGCTCGTCCAACGTGTATTCGCAGGAAATAGTCCTGAAGTGTCCTAGAGGATACAAGGCTATTAGGTTTCGCGTGGAAAAAGAAATGATGGAACATGAGAGAAAGAAGAAGCTGCAAAAAATAAAATTCAACAGAAGAAAATGGGGAATGACGAAGAGACATCAGAAAAATAAAACAGGTAGGGTAAGTAAGTGCTTGTACCGAAAGAAAAAAGAAAGAAGAAAAAAATAAAATAAAATAAAAATGGAAAAGAAAAAAAGAGTGAGAGTAAGAGTGAGAGTGAGAGTGAGAGTAAGAGTGAGAGTTAGAGAGAGATAGAGAGAGAACCACAGTATATAAGGCAAGAACCGGAAAGCTCAGGGCGTTCAACCCTGACACTCGACGTATATTTAGATTTAAAGAGACCAGATCTAATTCGATATATCTTAGGTATCCTCGAAGCAAGCCGACAAAGCACTGCTAATATTCCTCGATCGATGCGCGATCATTGGAATTCTCTACGAAGCCTGGAAGTACATCGAGAATAGGCAAATTCACGTTTTGGCGTGAGAAAAAGGGAAAGAGAGAGAGATAAAGATATGAACATTAATACCTCGGCTAGAAAATATTTGTCCTTCTAATGAAATACATATAAAATTCCTATATACCAATTATATTAATAGAAGAATAAGAGATGCATTACGGAAGTTAAATTCGTTGTTTTTCGAGAACAATGATTTACGTTAATTCGTTCAGAAAGTAAGATAGTTCGTTAAGTCTGTCGGTGCGAAATCAGCTGATAATATCAGCTGCACCGAAAAGTGCTTGCCACTTCCGTAAAGGAAGTCGATTATTTCCTCTGGTACGCGTTGTTGCATAATCGTGCACGCGATTCCACGTTCACCGGAGTTGTTCGATCCGCGTCATGTGTATATAATGTATGTGTGTCTCTGTGTCACTGCGTTTAAACTGTTAGCACGCACCAGTTTTGTCTTTATTACATACCAATAGAATATATGCAAATTATAATCAATTATCATAATCTTCTATATAAAAATGAACAAGTTATTTCTAATGAGTACTTATTAGTACAGCAGAAATATCTTTTTCGTTTGTTAAATACACCATATTTTATCAAATGTACATTAATATATGTCACAATACGATGTGTGTAAAATATCGCCAGTGTAATTACATATAATAATAATGACGACGATTATTACGAAAGAATATTGTTTATTAAAATAACTTAAAAATTCAATTGAATTTGATTAAAAATAATATCTACAATTTAATAATTGTCCTATGAATCTAAGAATAATGAGAGATTACAAAATCCTTCGTTATTGGAAATATTGTAACTATATTAAGAAAGAAAAATCGTGAAATAAAAGTCATATAAATCGATCGTTAATGAAAATTTGCAAATTACTGATTCCTTTGGAGATACAATACCAGAACGGTGGTGGCAGCGGCCTTCTCGAAATAGACGAGAAGCCCGGCTCTCCAAATTCGTCCGAAAATAAAACAGGTTTCTTCGTTGGAAGCTGCCGCGAGTCGTCCAATTGGTCGGCATGGACTGACGGAAGAACGCGTCGTGTATTAAATCCGAGACAAGGCGGAGACTGTGCGGAGACGAGCTGTGATTTATTTCAGATTATTTTTCTCTCATATACACGGTGTTAAAAAGAAGACCCCCACCCCCCTTACGATTACGGATTAACGAAACAATTTCCCAAAAATCAACCCTGTTCCAAGTGGGTACCCTCGCCTTTCATTTTGATAATGCAATTGATTATCATCCTTGTGTTCGTATGCTAAAGTAAACAATGGATTGTCTATGCTTTTACTACGAGTGAAATTGAGTTTATTGCATTATCAAAAAAGAACAAAAATCTTGCCGATCTGCTATTAGTTTTGTTATTTAAATCGTTCGATTCTCTTTAACACCGTATATAAAGTAGAACATATTGTATTATATATGTATGTATATAATCGTTGCTCGATTTCGTGACGAATTATTCCTGTTATCGTTTCAAGGATTTTCTACGTCCATACGATCACACACGAATGTCCAAACAATTGTGCAAACAAAGTCCCATGAAGCGTCACCTAAGAACGGCTGTAAAAACGCGATTCTCTTATCTCTTTCTCTATCGGGGGTATAAGTATCATTAAAATGTAATCATGGCGAATAATTATAAATATATGTATACGCGTTTTCATATGAATATGAGATACCGATTTAAAGTCATAATTAGTATGTTGATTTCTTGAAAAGTTAACTACTTCTCGATATATAGCCATAATGCTTTCCTTTCAATGTCACAACACACACACACACACACACACACACACACATATATTACATATATGCTGATAATTATCAAAATAGCATAAGTTGTATATTTATATATATACTTTTTATTATAATTCCATATTATTAAAATGTAGATTCATGCGAGAGAAATGAAATAATTTCATTGAATTTTGTCAAATTGTTTGATTAAACTACTTTCATAATTATTTAGATTAAAAGATTTAAATACATACGCTTTATATATTAACGAAATTCTTCAAACACCCCTGAATAATTGTCTTAATGAAGATTCCACACTGTCTTTTACCCACCAAAAAATTATAGCGACATCAAATTATTCTCTAACGTTATTTAAGAGAAATCTTTCTTTACATAGATACGTCTCATTACGTATTACTTACTTTATTGACGGTCGAAGTTCTTATTGAGAATTGTTTCCGTTGGTATGAAGGCACATAAGTCGACGATATCAACACACGTTTCAAACTCTCCAATATTTTCAAAATATATATAAAAGTGATAATGAGATTATTCTAAATAACAATAACGATATACTCATATTAGAAATAGCGCTAATAATATGTCAACGTAATGTTCAAAAGTGACATGTATTATTCGACATAATTTTTCACTTTTTTCTGTTAATCAATAAATTTATTATCAATAAATTTTCAAAGAATAATATATATATTTTATATTATCCCTAGAAGGCTGGCGAATATGAAAAATAATAAAAATAAATATATATATGTATATATATTAAGCTAAAACCTAAAATTAGTAAGTAAATAATTTTTAAAGTAACCATCTATATTTACCTTTTTAATAAATGACAAATGGAAAATGCGTATTTTGTTCGTAACCGTGTAAATTAAAATTGAACTTTCATCCAGTGGTATTGTATTTTTAATGAAAAGGTGAACATTGTGCGCGTTCGTGAATATATGTATTAGAAATATGCATATTAACTATACGTTAGAGGTTTAAATTGATTAGCGTATGGCGGAGAATTTTTATCGGGTGGATATAAAAATCGATTGAAATCGTTGCTCGAATAATCTGTTATATGGTCAGAAATGTAAGGTCCGGAGGGATACGAATTTGGAAAAGAATTCGAATAGAAATGATATTTCTCCTCGGGATAAAAATTAGCAGGTCTTTCGTAAGGTAAATGATAATTAATTGGATTAGGTTCATGATAAATGGGTGGTTGCATATCAGACGTGAGATCAATGTGTTCTATGTCTAGTGGATTACCACCGTAATAACCAAAAAATGGCGTAGAACTAATATTACTCTCCATTGTTGTTGAATTTTCTTCTGTGGCTGTATCGGTAGTAGTAGGTCTTGGATGAGGTGTTGGAGTAGGCGTTGGGGTAGGCCTTTGGGTAGGCCTTTGAGTAGGCCTTTGAGTAGGTCTTTGAGTAGGTCTTGAATTAGGTCTTGAATTAGGTCTTGCAGTAGAACTATTGACAGTCGTGGAATTATGAGCTTGATTTTTGACTCTATTCATAATTGCTTTCGAGTCATCGGCATCTTCTTGTAACTCTTCCAAATCATACGCCATAGAATCTCTATTCGATACATCAGCTGCTTCTTCCTCGAGTTTACTTCGTGTTGCACATGCAACGACTCCGTTCGTCATCTGAAAAAATTCCAATCGAGAATTTACTATTTCACAGAATAAGAAAAATCATAACGGCATCGGAATTGGCGATCGAGAAGAAATAAAAAAAAAGGCCGTAAATTGTGATCTCGGTGGTCGTAAAAGATCGATCGTAGATTCTTCGTACGGTAAGATAATTATTGACGCAGAAATGTAAGATATTGGAATTTATGTCACGCGATTCTCCGTTCTGGTTTCAATTTAATATTCGTTAAATTCTTACCTCTCCTTCTGTCTGTTTATAGACGCTGTCAATACGGGATTCCGTGTTTTCGGCATGATTTTTAAGACGATTCGAAGATTTCGATTTATCTGCTATTGTTTTTTTCACTATGTATTCTTCCTCGCTATCATCGGAATCGGAATCAGAAGATTGCTTATCGTCGAATAAAGTAATAATTTGAGTCGGACGATTGATACCATTTTGTTGAGACGTGAGGGATTGTAATTTGGAAGGATCGACAAAAGGATAGAATCCCAAAGGAGAATGATAGAAATAAGGATTCTGGACAAAAGAATAGGGATCGTAATAAGCAGCTAAATAAGGCCCTTGTTTCGAAGGAACAAAGTTCATTGCTATTGAGGCTTGAGGAAACTTTGCATAGGCTTTTACAGTTGACGATGCAGCACTGGCGAGTCCACCAAAACCAAGTCCGGCTAGAAAAGCTAGACTCCCTAAGAATTTGGATTTTCGTTTGTTGAACGTTTCCAATGTATTCTTATCTATTTTACTGCCTTCCAACTTTTCCGTATTCTTGATATCAACCGATTTCAGTTGCTTTAATAACAAATTCGACCACGGTGTTTCTTTCTCCATGGGACGACTGTCATTTTCTTTCAAAATCATTGCACTCTGGGGTTTGATTGTCGTCGTGATAATATCACACTTCACTTTTTTGTAAATCCATCAACAAAATAATATAAGATTTCATTTAAACGTCCTATAAATTATAATAAAATATTTAGTCAATTTCTTACCGCTACAGCAAAGAATGAAGATTGAAAATAGGGCGATTAGGGAGCTCATCCTCGCTCTGCTGTGATCGATTCCAAAGTGAAGAGAAACTCGAGCAGTTCACTTGACCAACTTCAAAATCTGCGGGTTACCCTCATGCTCGAGAAAGTACGTTTGTTAGATATCCGGGTAAATATGGTAATTGTCTAACTCTAAATGTTTCTATTAGAAAATGTGGGTTATAGATTGACACTTCCCAGAAACATAAATATTTCGGTATAGATTAGAAACTTTCCTAAATAACGAACGAAATGCGTTTATCAAGTTTATCGATATAGAACGAATATACGATTAGATGCAGTACTTGTAACAGCTCGACACTAACATAAATATAATCTATATTACTTTCAATCTTATAGAAATAAAAAACGTGTGAAACCCACACATGACTGAAGTGAAACTTCTTCAGTTTTTTATGTTGATAACTTTATTGAATTATTAGATTATTCATTATTTTTGTCTACACATTAACACTATACTTAAAAATTAAAATAATCTAGCAAAACCAAAAGTCTTGCTAACGGTCGCTTATGCTCGTTTCGAAGAAGAAAAAAAATCTATGAATACAACTATTAATTCGTGCCGATATTTGATCTTTCATCCTTGGCATAATTGGGCACTGAAGGAACTTTAAACTTTAATACTTACTCTGAAGAAAATTCTACGATGGCTCTAAAACTCTGGTCCCCCTCGCTGTTAGTCGAATGATGTCGTTAAGTTGATTAAAATTGGATTCATTGTTGAATTGTTGAATCGATGATTAATCTGTAATTAGAAATACAAAATAAAATTAATTATGTTTCATATCATTCAAAACATTTTTTATGAATGCAAACCATGATGTAAAAAATGATTGAGAAGCAGTAATTAAGATTATAAAATAATATTAATCATTGATTTAGAAATGTTAAAGAATTTTGTTTAATTTACACTTTCGACTATGACAATATTTAATTTATGACGAAACGTAAATCCTCTTCTCCCGAATTGGCTGAAAGTATGTTAACGATTTTAATTACACAGTGAACAAATTGTTTTTTAATAAGAATATTTTAACAAATTTTTTCGTTGATTTTAAATGCGACCAAGAAGATTTTTATCCGATAAAAAAACACTGACTCTACAATCTACGTGATTGCACACAAAAAATGCAACTTTTTTTAAACAAACACTGACTTTAAATAGGAAAGAATAGATACAGCATTAGTGTAAAACTAAACAACGTATAAATTTATAAATAAATAAATATAATAAATAATAAAAATAATAAATTTATAAATAAACAACAATTGTAATGCGTAATTAAGTAATTAATTCAATAAATCATTTAATTTATATAACAATTAATTAACGAAACGAAAAGTTACAATTTTTGTATACATCTAACATCAGCCATTAGCCGGACAATGCTTATGTTGCACCATACAAATTCTATGGACATCGTTAGTAATATCGGTTACCGAATTTCACTGTGAGGAAGTTGCTGCGTCGAAGATCCATTTGGAAATTGACGAATAAATCTCTAAAATTAAAAAAAAGAAAGAAAAAAATAATGAGATTATGGTAAAAATCTTTCTGAAACTATAGAAAAATATAATAGTCTCTAATTTTGTGGTTACAAATATTCTTACTTAATTTCAAGACATTCACACCATCGATTATGATTGAATAAATCTGTAAATCAAATGAGAGTTAATTACATATAAAATCAAATATTATTTGATTACACAAGAATAAATTTTTACAAGGAGAGCGAATACGTTACGACTTGTCTCTACGTCATCCAAAATCAAAATAGGATATACGAGTCACCTCTCCCCTCTCAATCAACTTAGGCAGTCGTTCGAGAATGTTTTTCTATGTTTACTTGATAAAAGACAAATTTATTGGAATTCGCCGAACTTTGACCTTCCCCTCATCTCTACCTCTTCCTCTATCTCTCTCACACATACACACACATTCAATCATATGAATTATTACTATACATAAAAGTAAAAAGTAAATATGCATGTTATAAAATAAATTCCTAGAAACAAAAAACATAAAATGAATGTATTGAAGTTATTTTTTTACTGATGTATGTTTTTTGATGTATGATAGATTTTTATTTATTTCTTAATATTTAAATGAATAATAAATATATGTATGTGTGTGTTTATATTGGTTCTTCTCGATTGATATAATTTTAGAAATAATTATTAAATGTTATATTGCATTTTTGATAAGCTTAATTGACATGCATATTTTTTTTCGTTTGATATTTCCCCATTGTTTCCTTGCCACTCAAATAATGCGTCCTCCTCAAAACCGATCATTTTTCGTCTTACTTGAAAATATTCGGTACCGTCCTAAAAAAAGTTTCACTTCAATAATGCTCAAAATCGTATGGTAACAAACAGAATTATTAATAAAAAATCATAGCGCATATATGTATTCATCATATCGTAAATTTAAATTTGGCGCACACAGGAAAAGGATGCGCGCGCAGTAATATGTAGCCAAACTATTCCCTCTCTTTTTCTCCGCCATAAGTAAAGACCGATGCTAAACCGTCAAAATACTTTGTCACAAAAAATGATTGAAAAAGAAGAACAGAATACTGAAACTAACGAAGAAAATGTAACATTAAACTTTTCGTCGCCGGAGAATCAAAAAGCACGTGCTTTTTTACGAGAACGTTTCCTACGTATAATAACTGGTATTGTCGGTATGTTATTTTGATTTTTTATCAGTTTGCATATTTAACCTAATTTTAATAATTAAATATTAATGTTAAAATCAATTATATTCTTTGAATAAATACTTAACTTTAATGAGAAATTCATTACATAATTATGATTGTATCGTATTTTTCTATATTCAAAGTAACACTTGAATATGGCGCCAATAAAGAGACTCCATTTTTGTTGTTTAACTTGAATAATACGCAATGGAAAAAAATTCAAAAATATCCTAATAAAAATTTCAATGATTTTATGTATTTACAATTGGAATATAATATCCGATATTTTACATATAAAGTACTACCAACGTGATTTGTTTTAATACGTTGTTCTAAAAGTTATTTTAGTAAATTATTCTGTTTTATTTACTTTATTTTGCAGGAAAAAAAGCCAAATTTAATTTGTATGAAAATTCACACGTAACTGGTGAATTTCGTGGCTCTGACGTAGACTGCCTGGAATTATTTGTGCGAAACTTGGAGACCCCGCTTGGAATAATTCCAGAAGCTATTCTCAGAACAAACGATATTATCTCCATGGAAGTTGAGAATATTATTAATAATTAATACTAAGATTATTCTAGAGGTAGGTAAATCACACATTTCTCTTTAAATTCTTATATAAATTAAGATATAACTTTATCATATAGTATAAATCTATAGCAAATTAAACAAGTATACATACATCTCATAATCTAAGATCGGCGCATATTTAACATAGTATTTATTTCTGAAATGATACGTCTTAAATGATCAATTATTTCTTTAAGATGCCTATTCTTTAATATGACTTGCTAGAAACATAAAATAATTGATTAGAATCAAATACAATATGAATTAACTCTTTTTTTGATATTTTACTAACCTCTGTTATTTCTTTACTTTCTTCGTATGCTAGTCTATAAGCTTCTGATGTCTTTTTCTCCTCTGATTTCATATCCCATTCTTCTTTTAATGGTATTAAACTTTCAATGTGTGTATATTCCATACCTTGAAGTTGGCAATTTTCATTGCATTTTTCATAAATGAGCCTCAAACGTTTAAATAACAATTTTAACATTCTTAATTGTTCTTGTACTTTAGTTTTCTTATCGTTAGCAACGCTAGCTCCTTGTGGCGTGCCTGTAATCAAATAGAATCTTATACTATGAATTTGGTATTTACCAAACCAATTTATTTAAATCAAAATTTACCATTTGGTGGTTGAAGTACTTTAAGCGTTTGGAAGACATCTAAAGTACGACTTACAATATCTTGCACAGTCTCTTGTCCAAATCTACATAAGCTAGCAGTGTTAAAATCTTTATTTTGTTGCTGTTGAGGAGGAGGTTGTGTTGGTGCAACAGGTGTTTGCGGTGTAGTAGCCTGATTACTAGTCTGATTAGTTTGTTGTACGAGAGCGGCTTGTTGCTGTTGCTGCAATTGCAATTGTTGTTGTTGCATCTGTTGCATTTGTTGTTGCATGGTAACTGATTGTTGTTGCTGTTGTTGTTGGGCTAAGACTTGTTGAGCATTTGGCATTCCCATAGCGTTAGAACCTACTCCTCCAACTCCAACGCCAACACCTACTCCGACTCCAAATTGCTGCGGACTTACTATACCTAGCACCATTATATCATTATATTTAATGCTATTCTATAACTCTTTCTGTATTTCTACTTCTTATTAATTAAAAACTTCAGTATAAATATTCACCGCCTTGTTGGGGTCCCATTAAACCGGAAACCATTTGTCCTCCTCCAAATTGTGTTCTCATTGCAGATTGTTGTACGTTTGGAAACCCAGATGGGAAGGGATGCTGTTGTCCAGCCATTTTTCTTTATTTAATAAGAATATTTTATTTATTAATCGACAGTAACAAATCGTAATATAACCTATTTTAGGTTACTTTATGTTAGACTTAGACTTCACATATTCATTAACGCATTTGCATGCATCCCTAAGCGGATTATTCCGCGCATAACGATTATCTTGTATTTCTATACACAAACTATTTCGTGAACTACGACTTGCTTTGTTCAGCAGTCACAAAATATTTCGCACATACTGGCAAAATATGGCCGCGCGAAATGACACGAGCCAATTGGCAAATGAGCTACGTTAACGTTTGAATACGATAATTTAAGTAAAGTCATGATATAAATGGGTTAATTGGAACGTATCAATTTTTATTCAAATAATGAATTATTTTTGATTACAATGAGTTAGATGTTATTAGATTGTAGTTGATAAAATAATATCAACAGTTAAAAGAACGCAAGTAATTAATTCATTTGAAGATCGTTTCATATGCGTTATCTCGTGGAACGTACAACTCCCGTTGTACTTTAAATTGTTGACATTGCGATGCGCATGCCCATATTCTGTATAAATGTCAACTTGATCGTTGGGATAGGTAAAGTTTTGTAGCAAAAATTATTACATATAACGTCTATACGAAAAGTAAAGTTTTTCGAATCACAGAACTCGTTTGCAAACATTATGGCTTTTCGTTAGAAAGATAAACAAGTTTTTTATCTTATAGTAAGATTATTCTAAGAGGTAGGTAAGTCATACATTTCTCTTTACATTCCTATATTAAGATATTATTACTTTATCTTATAGTATCTCAGTCTATTGCAACTTAAATAAGTATATAATTTTTGTAATCTAAGATCGGCGCATATTTAACATAGTATTTATTTCTGAAATGATACGTCTTAATTTGTCAATTATTTCTTTAAGGTGCTTACTTTTTGATATGACTTGCTAGAAACATAAAAAAATTGATTAGAATCAAATATGACATGCGTTAAACTTTTTCTAAATTTTTACCAACCTCCATTATTTCTTCACTTTCTTTGTATGCTAATTTATAAGCTTCCGATGTCTTTCTCTCCTCTGATTTCATATCCCATTCTTCTTTTAACGGTATTAAACTTTCAATGTGTGTATATTCCATACCTTGAAGTTGGCAATTTTCATTGCATTTTTCATAAATCCGCCTTAAACGGTTAAATAACATCTTTAAAGTCATTAACTGATCTTGTACCTTAGTTTTCTTACTGTTGGCAATACTAGCTCCTTGTGATGTACCTGTAGCCAAATAGAATCTTATATCATCAATTTGGTATTTACCAAAACCAGTTTATTTAAATCAAAACTTACCATTTGGTAGTTGAAGTACTTTAAGCGTTTGGAAGACATCTAAAGTACGACTTACAATATCTTGTACAATCTCTTGTCCAAATTTACACAAGCTAACAGTGTTGAGATCTTTATTTTGTTGCTGTTGAGGTGGAAGTTGTGTTGGTGCAACAGGTGTTTGCGGTGTAGTAGTCTGATTACTAATCTGATTAGTTTGTTGTACGAGAGCTGCTTGTTGTTGTTGCTGCAATTGCATTTGCTGTTGTTGCATCTGTTGCATTTGTTGTTGCATGGCAACTGATTGTTGTTGATGTTGTTGGGCTAAAACTTGTTGAGCATTTTGCATTCCCATAGCGTTAGAACCTACTCCTCCAATTCCAACGCCAACACCTACTCCGACTCCAAATTGCTGCGGACTTACTATACCTAGCACCATTATATTACTATATTTAATGCTATTCTATAACTCTTTCTATATTTCTACTTTTTAATAATTAACAACTTCATTGTAAATACTCACCGCCTTGTTGAGGTCCCATTAAACCAGAAACCATTTCTCCTCCTCCAAATTGTGTTCTCATCGCAGAATGTTGAACATTTGGAAACCCAGGTGGGAAGGAATGCTGTTGTCCAGCCATTTTTCTTTATTTAGTAAGAATCTTTTATTTATTAATAGCCCTATTTAACGATAATAATAAATCGTAGTGTAACTTCTTTTAGGTTACGTTCGTTTAGGTTAGACTTTGCACACTCATTGATTGAAATTTATCAATTTTTATTCTAGCGGGGAATTATTTTTGTTTGCGATAAAATTAGATATTTTTAGATTACAGTTAATAAAACAATATCAGCAGTTAAAAGAATGCAAGAAATTCATTCTAAGGTTGATGCATTTACGTCTCCTCGAACAGTGAGGTGCAAGCCACGCGCTGCATTAAATTGTTGACATCGCCAATCGCATGCGCATGCTCATACACCGTATAAATGTCGACTCGATCGTTGAAATAAGTAAAATCTCGTAGTAATAATTATTGCGTTTACGTCTATATGAAAAGTAAAATTCTTGGAATTACAGAATTCATTTCGTAAACATTGTGTCTTTTTAAAAAGCTTTTTCTAAAAAGTTAAACATATTTTTTTTTTTAGTTTTCTCAAGATTTTTACATTTAGCTTATATATTGTGAGTGAATGCTTTTTGTTCATACAACTTAATTCATCTTATGTCGCAATGTATTCTCAGATCGAAAAATTTATTTAATTAGTAATAAGAAAACAAAATTATTTCTTCTAATTCATTGAATTTGTAATCTAAAAATTATGAAGAAACGTTCGGTATCAATTATTGATAATTAGAATTAGAATTATTTATCGAATCTATAAATCACAGATCAAAGTCGAATATAATTCCATTTAATTTCGTCGAGAAAATCAAGACGATGAACAGTTAGAAGCAGATTAAACAAAATCGAAGAATATCTGAAGAGCAAATAAGGTCTTTGAACATAAAAGACATTTACGAAGTAGAACATTTTCTGATTTCTGCTCGTAACGTACTCTAACACTTTGTTTGAACTCGTAGATACCACTTTCATATTTATTATTCCTTTTTTCTCTCGGTTTCAGTAAATTTTCTTCCAGCAAGACATTGCGACGACGCTCTCGATATTGTCTTTTAACAAGACATTAAAAATAATATTTTATCAAAATTATTACGAGTGTGATATCCAATTAATCGCACAGTAACGATATGCATCACATTATTTTATTGATCACGTTAACATGTCTCGTCTTTAATATCGGTGGCAAGTCGATTGAAGAAAAAGAATTAAGGATGAACATAACAACGAAAGAAAAGAAAGATACAACTAAATCGTTGGAAGTAATCTCACGTTCTTCGGTTATCGACGATCCACCGAGTTATCAATCATCGAAGAATTTCAGTTCGAACACGAAAATTGATTTATGTTCTGGCGTAAAGGATAAAAATCGTTGTCTCGTATCAGCTTTATCTAGAATAGCAAAAATTCGTATCGACGAGAATAATGATCCAAATACTTTAAGAAGATCCTCCGAAAAATTATCCAATGCAAAGGATCAAAAGTATCAATCGGATTTTGAAAGAAAGAAGAAAAATGAAGATGTATTACCCAGTTGGCCTCAAGGAAATTGTCGTTGTTACGTTATTGAAGATGTCTACATGCCGGAAGCTGGCAAAAAATTACCGGCTTATGCTTGTCGACTTTACGACAAGATTTTCATTCTTACCAGTGAAAGATTTCTCGAGGATCGTAGGTCTTACTTTGATATATACGTGGACGAAGAAATTGCAAAGAATTGGATTGTTGCTGCTTCGAATGCAGTCAGAACTGTTGGCGTTAAGAAACTTCCGGTAACGCTATTTTTAAAAAATGGTGAAAATAATTATAGGATACGTAATAAGTTATAAGATAGAAATTATGAAATAAAAAATTTGTATGTGGAGTTAATATCATTTCTAAATAATCAGATACATTATATCAATTATCGGTCAATTGTATTAATAAAATTTCAAATTAAAATATGCATTGCTATCTCTTTTTAGATAGAATAATATTTTTATCATATTTCTATTGTTATCGATTGAAGCATGTCGGGCGATTTAAGAAAAGAACGCTGAAATCTTTCAAAGATTTATTATAAATGGAGTTTCGAAATCCTCTCTATTTATCCGCTCAAACCAACGTTACCGATGACGAAGAGAGATCGAAGATTATTGTGTTTAAACAAATTTACAATATCTCTTCGAGCTTCTGTAAATTTGAACAAAGTTTTTCGGGACAACGTTAATTGAGCGAAATATTATACGTGCCTATATTATAAAGGATTGACATGTTACGTATTTATTTTCTCTTCCTTAACAAGAAAAAAAAACAGAAATATTATCCTACATTTAAAAATCGTAAAACGAGAGGATCCTGATTCGATCGACGACAAAGTTCTCAATCAATGAGATGAAAGTATTATAATAGTCTCTTTTATTCGAGATTACGTTGATACGTCGTCGTTATGTCCTATGAGACTCTGCTTTTTTATCATCCTGGACGATTTCTTGCATGAGTATCACACTAGGAACAATATCTTGATCGTCTTTTTTCGAATATGCTTCTGGTGGTGCAATCGGTGAAAGTTTAAAAACGTTTGTTGAAACATTGTAAGGAGATTTCACCTTTATCGGCGTTTCATTTTCTTTTTCGGTAACCGTTTCTTCTTCATCGTTCGACAGATGAGAGAGATCTTTATAAAGATGGACTATTGGTTGGTGAATCGGTAGATGAATAAGCGACGTATTGATAGGCTTCTCTTCGACTTTGTTCTTCGTTGTTTTCTCTTCCGTTTCGTATGCTTCTGGCGGAGCAATTGGAGAAAGTTTGAAAACGTTCGTAGGGTTCTCTTCTTTCGCTGTTTCCTTTACTACTGTAAGAGACAAATCATTTATTGAAAAATAAAATGATCAATTTAAATACTCATTCTATTATTATATAGTTTTCATAAATGATTTCGCAATAATAATATTTTGAAATAAATACCTGTATCCTTAACGGCATCCGAAGAAGTTTCTTCTTCCTTCTCTGATTTCTCATCCTTTTTATTGGAAGATTCGATTACCTTCTGGTCATTGGAAAGATGAGATAAATCTTTATAAAGGAGAGGAGTCGGCTCTTGCGTGGTTAATGTTTCTGTTTTGCTATCCGTTTTTTTTTCGGTTTTCTTTTCCACCTTCTCGTCGGATTTTTGACTCGCGTAAGCTTCCGGTGGAGCGATCGGCGAAAGTTTCTGCACGTTCGACAAAATATCCGAAGGACGTTGCTCCTTAACCGGTTCCTCCTCCTTCGTGTTTTTATCGTCGACCGCGTTTTTCTCCTCCGTAAGATGCGAGAGATCCTTGTATTGGCGAACGTTAGGTTGCTCGGTCAGTGATTCTAGTCCTATCACAGACACGAAGTCCTGCGGAGTATCACGATTATGCCCGATCTCAGCAGGTAGCTCAGGATAATTTGGATTAGGATCATATAAATCATTCGGTTTGCTTTCCTCTTTCTCAATCTCTGTCGACAGTCTGTCTGAATTATCCCTCTTTTCTGTCGATAAGATCGAACTTACCTATGAAATTAAAATAGCACATTTTCTTGAAAACAAAACAAAAATAGGAATATTTTAAACGATAAGTTAGACGAGACTCTGTATCAAATATGTAAATTTGCATTTGGATTTTTTTTGGAAAAGTTATCTCACCGTGATCTCTCGAATATAAATTCAAGTTTTACCAATGTGAAAACATATCGAGAAGAGTCGGACGGATTCGTATTAATCAGAATGATTAACGATGTACGTATTCGTTGGTAACCCGTTGAATCGGTGAATCAAATCTTAACCAGCTGTTTAATTTTCTTGTAACATGATGCGAATAAGAGAAATTATAGAGATATAACGCGTGACATTGAATGTTTTCATTTTATCCGCTCAATCAGCAATCCTTACAGACGGATAAAGATCTACAGATATTTCTGCATATAAATACGATATACGCGTAGCATAATTCAATCGAATATTCAACGCGTATGGAAATAATTAATGGTCATTTCGTGGAGAAACGTCATAGTATTTATTCGTCATTTGCGTATATGAGAACATCATGTAAAATAATGTTTATTTTTAATTGTAATGATTTCACAATTATCACGATAATTATAATGACTCACGAAGCGAATTCTTATGCAAACTCATTTGAAATATGTTAAGACGTTCGTTCGTTGCCGGCAAATTTCGTAAAAGAAAATAACTCTATATTAGAGCCGATGAAAAAAATTATTTCGTGTAAATACATCCATAATTATAAAGAATCATATAAAATTACTTTGGCCAGAGACACCTTGAAATCGGAACCATCTTTCAATTGATCCTCCTTCTGCGCTTTCTTCAATTTTTCATGCAATTCATAAAGAGAAACGAGTTTTGGTACTTGAAAGCCAGGATTCTTTTCAGCGTGCATATCTTCTTCCTCACGCCTCTCATTACCGGCTATTGAATTTCCGGATTCCCTAGCGTATGCAGGGTAATATTTTTTTCTCGATTCATCAACAACCGAGTTGGCTCTGCTTTCTTCGATAGACTCGAGCTGGCTGAAGTTGTGATCCAATCGAATGCTCTGCGTCAAATTAAATGATTTTTTCAATTTGTTCAGTAAAAAATATTTAATTACAAACGTTAGTGTTAACGTTAACGGTTTTCGAAATTTATTATAAGATATTTGAAATGTTATTAATTATTAAATTTGATTATTTACAAAAATATGTATCGTATGCGAGTTGAACGCGTTAAGAATAGAATTAGATTCGGGCCTACTTTGCATCGAACTTTCTTGTTAAACGATTTTAGTTATCGCTTTCTAGTTCTTGTTCCAGAGGATCACAGCAAAATCGATACCTTGGATAAGCCCGAGTGTTCGTGGAATGCTTCGGCCAAGGCAGGATTTATTTCCTCCAACGGTTGATCTCCATTTCTTATGTATACAGGAATGTAGCCGGGGATGCTGGGCAATATTTGATAGGGATACGAATCTATGAAGATAGAGAACGTATGATTGACAATAATTAACATCTTATAGAAATTTAATCGTAAATCTCAAATCATTAATTTTATTCAAGGAGCGACTAATAGATTAATTATATAGTCGTGCACGTTCATAAGTAACTAATTGGAAAATTACTCGTCAAGTGTGTTGAAAAGTGAGCTAATTGTTAGACTAATGATTATATTCTTTCATTAAACATAACATATAACATTTTGCTTTTACAATTAGTATCAGATAATTGGTATAACATAGATGAAAAGTCTTCGTATTTATTGGTTAGTTTTGTTTATTAAACGATTATGCAAGAGTAGATGTCGAAATGTTGACAAAGAAAAAGAAAATAAACGCGGGAAATCTACGCAGTTTCGCTTTTAAAATCTTTTGAAATTCTAATTGTTTTATTCGACACATACAATTAGCCAATCTTCTAATAGAGATGAACTACATATAAATTTATGCAAATGTTATAATTATACAATATCTCATTAATAAACAAGTAGAGAAATCTAGTCAAATTTTGAATCAAATTAATTTTTATACAAGTTATTAACAATGCTAGTTTTTATTATAAGAATATCAAAATTGTTTGCTTGTATAAAAAGATACGACAGTACACAAATACGTGAAATACCACACTAATTGATTAAATCGAGTAATATTCCAAGTGCGAAGAAACTAACACACGATCCTTCCTACCAATTACTACCATTAGTACTCCCATCTGATTATTTTTTCACAAAGCAAGAGAAAAATATTAATCACGGTTCTCACTTCACGTCACTGATTTTCACAAGGGATTTTATCCTTTTACTCACGAGCATTATCAACGAGAGGCGCGAGTAGTACGAGAAAGTAGATGGCCCTGGTACCACGCAGCATCCCGGTAGTCTGCATCTTTGAATGGTACTGGGCCCCCAGAGTACGGGGCTCTCTCCTTTATATCAACGGACCCCCTACCCCTCCAATCGTTTCTCTCTCTCTCTCTTTCTTTCTCTCCCTCTTCGGATGAAAAGGCCCCCCCTTGACTTTAACTCCGTTCCGTTAATATTAGAGCAAAAAGTCACGGAGTTCTCTTCGGCAACGAACTCGATCGTAAAGCAAACTGCGATTGTGAGCGAGTGAGTGCCGATTTCGATACATATTTTTAATATCGTCTCAAAATTACCGCAATTTTGTTCTATCATCATTGATATTGTTCTTATTTTGATATTTTTTTGCTAAAAAAAAGAACTGGCGTTGAAGCAACGAACTATATTATTATTCGAGTTAGTCAATGTTGTAGCGCGGTATCGAGTAAAACGATGCATAATATGCATGATGAAAAAAAAAAGAACTTAAAATAATATACGAAAGGATAAAGCTATAAGAAGGATATTAATAGGTCGGGTTAATCAGGTAAGAATAAAAGAAGATTTCTCCGATGTTGCAAAAATGCTTTTTGTTTATTGCATCGCAACTAAACATGGTACTTCTATTCATCGTTCAATGATAACATCGTCGATTCCATTATCGCATTCTTTCTAACGTCCCAATATATTTACGTAGTATCGTCGACTGGTTTCTCATCAATACCGAAGGATTCTTCAGACAAATTTTTAAACGAGAACGTTAACGAAAGAGTTGTAGGAATAAAATTCTTTCGATGTAATTCAAATAAAATAATATGAATAATATAATATTATCATTTTCTTTTTTTTTTAATATTTTCATACGCGTATCCTTCGATGCCAAAGTAGATTTGCCTAATTATTTCTATTTATTTTGTTTTGAACACGTCGATAATAGAAAATGTCTATGTACGTCGCATATTTGTTTGCAATACGCGTTAGTAAGATAAGTCGCATTTTGAATTACGTTATCGCGATCGCCTTAAGCTTGCCAAACGATAAATAAAAATTATGACTAATAAAGCCTGAGATTTGAACGAATGGACGACAGGGGCTGATTCATTGGTCGTGCTTGCAAAGATCAAAGGATACAAGCAAAGAGCTTCATTATAATCCCTGATGCATATATTCACAGTTTTATTCGAACTACGTTAATGACGATAAATCTGTATTCTCGTCTATTCATTTTACGTATTTTACTGTGTATCTACATTCTATCTACAAAAATACGAAGGTTTCGCGCGAAGAATCGCATGACCATAAATTTTTCGTAGTTAGTATTTTATTCGATTCAATGGATTTAATCGGTTGAAAAAAAGAAAAAAACAAAAAGAAATGATAGAGTTAACGGTAACTTCAATGATCTCCGTGTGGAACGTTTCCAAAAGAGTACAATGCCTCTATGCCTTGGCGTATTAAAAGAAGTATCATGTTTTATCCGTTTTATAACGTCAAACACAAATTAATTTTAGCGAAGTATATTTAGAATAATTGTGTTCTGAACAGAAATAAAGAATAGAAAAAAATGGTAATCGTTGATTAAAGAAAAAAAAGGAATGAATAACTTTAAGAAAGGTTCTATCGTCTTTCAATCTCCAGATTGCCATTCAGTTGCTTGAATTCTTCGTGGTGTATTTCCGCTTGAAAGAATTTCCGTCGAAACCGAGAGAACTCGATAGTTTGAAAAGGAGAAATAAAGAGGAGGAGAAACACGTAAGTACTTACTTACGTGCCTTATCCTTTCGAGAATCCCGGAGTAAACGTTCAGCAACCAGCAGCACTACCTCGGCTCTGCGATTTATCGATTTCTTATTGTCCGTCGATCAATTTGGCGACCTTCGATCTTATACATTTTTACAATATTTCTTATCCTCGAATGGCATATATATATGTGTACTAGCTAGGTATATCGGATTCGCTTGAATGATCAGGAAGAAGAGGAGAGAAACCAAGGTTGAAATTTTTCTCGCGAAAAGATCGAATATCCTTAGCTTTAGCTTTTTAATTATGTTTAGAACACATCGCTGATAGGTCATAGAGAGTTAGACTATTATTTAATTAATATAAATTATATACAATTATTTTTGAATAACTCTTAATGATTCTTTAATGAGTTTAATAGTAATAACTCAATGATCGATAATCGTGTTTGAACAAAATTTTAAGGAAAATTCAAGCTTATATTAATTCGTGTCGTTAAGTATACGATTTAATCCGATCGTCGTTTCGCTTTTAAAAAGCGATTTAACATACTAATAAGAGAGAGAGAGAGAAGAATGATTTCAGTGGCATTTTATTATCTCGAACGTGTTTCCTCGGGGCAATGATGTATCCTGGGTGAAAGGTCAGGAGCGGCGTACGACCTAGAAATATTCGCGTGCTTCTTCGAAGGTAAGCGTCTTCCTTCTCTCTATCTCTCTCTCTTTCAATATCTATCAATCTCTTTTACCTGGAGACAGGTGTTAACGACTAGTGGTTTGAACTCGTGGAGTCTGCGCGCGTCACGCAACATCGTCATCGTGTAAGATTTAAAATTACATCACTTTCCATTTTGCACTGTTACATCTCTCTCCTTTTATCTTTCTGTTGCTGGATATAAATATACGTTTATGCACACGAATTGTATATCGTTGAAATAGGATGAACTAAAAGTTCGTGCGATTCAAAATGAATATTTTCAACGTAAATTTTACAAAAACAATCCATTATTGCAGTTTCAAAGTAAAGTTTCAACACAATGAATGCACGAACTTTTGGTTAACCCTAATATTTTCTATAAAGGATAAATCAAAATGAAGAGCATTATTCATCGTCGTAGATGTTTCTATTTTTTGTCAATTAAAAAAATAAAACAAAGAAAAAAAGAAGTGTTAATTTAATTGTGCAGTCCTAATAATTAATTTTTAAGCAATTTAAATAAGAATTTTGTATATGTTTAGATTCTTCTCTCGACAATACTTTATTAGTTATCCGCATTTTCATATGTACATCTATTAATCTTTTTTTTTTTCGCTATGTAGCTTCTTTTCTTCGATCATAGACTACACACGCCCCTTTTCCGCTCGATTGAACCGCGTAAGGGTATTTGGAGAACACACGAGCGTATGTAATTTCTGTTGACACGGTTAACGTGTTCTGGTTTAGTGGGTTGTTTCTGCATTGAAGTATATCTTTGATCTAAGCTTCTTTGAAAAATCGATGCACGCAGTTCTTCCATTTCTTTACCGTTATATCTCACTTTCCATTACACTTACAATTAACCGAGTATTTTCTTCGATTCAAGATAACACCATCTCTTAGCTTTACCAATTTTTCATTTTCTTGTATAATTCTCTGTTTGCATGTTTGGAATAAAGATAAAATAATTGATGTATAATTGCTTGTTCGTACAATGTTCATTTTACTTTCATTTTCCACATTATTAGCAATGGTTTAATATTCAAATCTTTGTATCTCTTGTAGTTATCCACTTGGTACAACTGTTTTTTTTAACTACTATCGCGTTTATCTTGTGTCTTCTATTACATATTTATGTGCTTTTACAGATACCCTCGAGAAATACGATACTCGTTTAAAGTTTCAATTCGAGATTATTCTACGTTATTTTGCATTAAACTCGTCTGTGAATAATATTTAAAAACATTCTTTTTTCTATATTCTAATATGTTAAAACTTAGCCATTTTTTTTGGTAACCATCATAGGATAAGAATATTTCTTTTTGGTTCCTGTATCTCCTGATTTTTATTGATCGAACAGCCATGAAATTTGTTATCCATTAAAGAATCATTTTTAGTGGATATGATTGTTGATTCTGCATATCGTTCGATGCACAGAATGAACGTGAGACGTGGGACAACTAGATCGTTCGCAATTGGTAGGCAGGATGGTCCTATTGCGATTCTAGGCCGCGTCAAATTGCTCGCTAAGGTCGTCGTTCGCTCGATTCTCGCGAGAGAAAAGCTCGAAACGTGAGAAAGAGAAAAATTCTTTACATATATATAACATATATATATTTACTTTCCTAAGATAAGTATTCGATTCCAAAGCATTCGTGCAGCAGACGCAGAACGCGCTTTTTTTTCATAAACCAACAAAGTTGAAGTTGAAGTTGTTTCGCCAACCAACCGGTTCTTCACTTTACGAGCTTTACGAGCACGCATGGATGCTAAAAACTTCAGAGAAATGAAATTATTGCTTCTAATCGCACAATTATTTTCAATTCGAATAATATCGAATTGCAAAAATGCGAAAAGATATCTTTTGTATTTTTGAAGAATGTTATCAATGTGATTCCACATGTGAACATATTTCACCGAGCAGCCATTTTCTGTACAATCTGTCTCTCTTTCTCTCTCTCTCTCTTTCTCTCTTCGTCTTTCTTTCTTTTATTTTCTGCCTTAGGTGCAGTGTTAGAACTATTAATACTAACGGTGCGTCGATGATCGAATTCCGAACGAGTTCTAACTATGCCGACGATTCGCGATAGATAGGCCAACTTAATGTTAGAATCAATTTGTTTATCGTATATCTTGCGATGACTGATCTTCGAATAACGAGTGTCTTTCGATAATACTGTAATCAAAAAAGAAAAGAAAAACAAAAATTTCTATGTAAATGCGTGGGTTTTGAATGAAATAAACTAGCGATATTAGCAATATGTTCACGTTAACACTTCGATTGGTTGCGATGATACATCCGATTAACATATTATTGCATACGTTCAAATATTTATTTCCATTTTATTTGTAAATGTTCAATTTAAAGGATGTTATATATTGGCTTATACTTATAAAAAAAAAAAATCAATAGCCTTTTTTTTTTATACAATTCGATGAACCGATCGATCGATAGGTCCTAGGCCTCGCGCCAGGATTCCATTAACCTCGATGCTGACTTTGAAAAAGTACTCCATAGAATAACGGAATGGTGAGAACGAATAGGAACGTCTTTTGAACAAACCAGATATCTGTCTGTAAGTTATATACGAGTTTTGTGTTAGAATGTACTTTATATTAAATATCATAAATATATAAATATAACAGAGGATATCTAACGAATTGGTATACTTGATCTTGTAATTAAATTATTTTCTATTATAGTATAAAATATATATTAGGTGTAATAGATACTCGACCGATGTAAATAACTTTCCATGAAAAAGTATCAATATAAGATCGAAAGCTGGGAAATTCCAAGATCCATGGGATAGAGCTAGTTTGAGATGAGAGTCGCAACGAATGCGATTACCTCACGTCAATCCGAGAGAGTAAGTTTTGTTTTTTTACGAACGTGTCGGCGACTCCTCCTCGTTCTCCCAGTTTTTCCGCAACAGTTTGCTCTTCGAAGAGAATTCACTAGCCATGGATGGCCGTTCGCCGGACGTTTACGGTCAACGACCGGAAAGTCCGTGCTCCTCATGTACCTGCTAAAAGAGAGTCTTCGAAGAAGACGAAGATAAAGAGAGCCTATCCGAGAGATCGAGACATCGATGATGGACGCCAACGGGTATTCGTCGACCTGCAAACCCACATTTTCTTCGGTTCTTCGTATTACAAACGTTTAACCGACATTTTTTCTTTTTCTGATCCTTTTGAAATAAATTCAAAGTTAATGAAGGCGTAGAATTTGCCAAAATTACCATACATTCTATTCATCTTTGGTGATCATTCATTTCGAAGAATCTTTCCGACTTTTATCCTTAGATATTTCCAATCAGATAATTTCATTGCACGACGTTTCGTTATAAATATATTTATATATATAAATAGTATATTAATGAAATAATTATTTATTATAGATAAATCTACTTTCGAAACAAAAATGTGTCATCTAGTGATATTTGAAATGACTCGCGTTTATTAACATTTAATGATTAATAACACAATGAAATCTTTATAATGATACGTCCGAGTGACTTTTCAAGCCATTATCTACACTTGCAGGAGATAAACTTTCAAAGGAATTTAAATAGCATGAAAATCGAAGGTTTCGAGAGCGACGAAGGTAAAAACTCCTTTCCTTTCTCTCATCTTCAGCAAATCCCTGAAAGAACTCATATATATATATAAACGAAGACGAGGATATAATTTCAAGTCGCCAATTATCATCGAGTCTCGAAGCAGGTAGAGAACGTTTAAAATAGCGGACAAAGTAGTGGGTTCTTGCCGTTTCGAATTGGCTTCGTTTCGTCGAAAATTTTTTTTCCCATTTCTATCCTCATCATATTCTTATTGTATATTCTCTTTTTTCTTTTTGCTGCTCCTTCTCCTTCTTCTATTTCTTCTTCTGCTCCGTATCCGGAAAAATGGAGAGAAAAAAATTCAAAGTTTACCGTTACGTTCACCCAAGTCGTACCATAATTACGGATCCGTATTTCTCTTTCTCTCTCTTTCTCAACACTAGCAGTTAACACAGCAGCCACGACTCGAGTCGCTCATTGGAAGCTGCCTGCTCGTTCACCCTACTCTTATTTATAGTCTTGATACTGGACACCGCTTTTAAAGCCGATCTAGGACAGCCCTAGAACGTAAAAAAGCAGACGACCTAGGATACCTAAGCTAGCTCCGGTTAATGGCTTTACTAACGCTTCAAACCTACAATTAAAGCTTTTAATATATTACGAAGAAGAATTATTTTCAGCTAAATTTCTTGTTACATATAATATTTTAGATAGTGGAGAGGCGGTGGGAATATTCATAAGTATTTACCTATGAAGACTTTCATTTATTTTTTTCAGAGTTTTTCAAATATTTGAAAAATCTTAAAGGATGCGTTGTAACGAGTCTGAAAATAAAAGTCGAAATCTTGATGATGATAACGACGACGCGATGACGCCTGTGTTTTCATTGGAACTTTCTGTAATTTTTAGAAATTCTCTCAACCGACGATTATATGCGCTCCAACTTGCGGTTAGGTATTAACATTTAATGAGGTATACAAATTACAGCGTGGCATTTATTAAAACGATGTAACTTCATTCCGCTTTGCGAGTAAAGTCAATTAAGTTACTGTTCATTATTGTAGGAAATCCCAGAATATATGCGGAATATTGCTAGGAACATTATCGATTTAAAACCTGTTTATCAGTTTTTTCCTTGCGAAGATCATTTTGCAAAAATATAGTGTATTGTGAGACACGAAAAAGGTATATGCGATGCAGTCGATCGCGACTAAATTCTCTTAAATTACTTCAGGTAAATTATTAATTCAAAAAAAAAGGTCAAAAAGGTAATTACATCAACAATATATATATATAAAAGCAATCAATTCATAATTAAACGAATGAAAATTAATTTACATTCCTGAACATACGCAAATATCCTACAATTTCACTTTCTAATACTATTTATCGGAAAAAGACAGTTTCTTATCGATATAAGAAATATTTTAACAAATGTAATACTATGATGCATTAATATTTCTTGTAGACCATCCGACCAGTCTAGTCAGCAGCATGTTTTTACTTACTCTTAGTAAGAACTATTGAGAGGATAATAAACAGATTTTGTTTTTTTGTTGTTGTTTTCTCTACCCATAAAGTAACTTAATTAACAAATTGTGATTAATGTCAGGCAGTTTTCAAAGCTAATTAATAATTTGGTTTTTTCTTTCTACCCTTCGTTAATAATATTAACGAAAGAAAGTATAAAAGTTCCTTGAAGATACTCGTAGCGAGGGGATTATTAAAAAAGTTCTTCACCATCCTCCTCCACCGGCGCTTGCTTGAGCACTGGCTTGTGCGTATGCAATACCTCCACCACCCCCACCTCTTCCACCGCCACCACCACCGCGTCTAGATCAACAACAAAATAACATGTTATTAGAATTATGCAATAAATGGTTTATTGGTAAATCGAGATATATAATATATTATATTTAAAAATAGAAAAATAATAAAGAAAATGTGACACGTACCCTTGGCACGGATCGCACACAGGTTGAGGATGATACTGTTGAGGTGGAGGATGGTACTGTTGAGGTGGAGGATGGTACTGCGGTTGTTGTTGAATCGCAACGGGTACTACGTATACCGGTATTACGCCAATTTGTCCTGCGAATATAACAATAACAAATTATACGAGGAAATTGATCGGATTGTTGAAAAAACAAAACAAAAAAAAAACAGGTGATTTAGTCTGCAATTATTAAGGAGGTTCTTTTTCATGATTATTATATTTAATTGATTTACGTCGGACCAATCCAATGATACGTTTATTTATCTGCAATCGTTGGAAAAAGTATCGGTGAATAAATATCCATGGTATTGAATAATATAATTGTTATTAATGTATGTTTCAGGAGGTCTATCATCGATCAAGATGAAAAATTGATGGCAATTTATGAAATTATTTTTTTTTACACACATAACAAATTAAATCATCATATTTTTGGATATTTGAATTACCAATACTTTTAGGTGTCATTATAACACGTACTCTACAAATATCTAATAAGCTTCGTGTCTTGCCGTGCGACTAATTTCTACTTACTCATGTTTCGGAAACTACAGTGCGCTATAATAGGCAATTGTTATGAGTAAAGTTACCTCCGTATGGATCGTAATACTGATAACTACCTCCTCCTCCTCCACCACCTTTTCCGCCACCACCTCTACCTCCACCACCATGACACTTATGGCAAGCCATTCTTTTCGCTCTATATTTCTTCGATTTCGATAGTTTATCCGACGTCGAATAATTATCTGCCGTGGATTCCAACATCTCCTTGACGTCGTCTATATCTTTTTCCGGTATTTCTGTCTTCAGTACACTCGTTTCACCACTCTCGTCGATTTTATCGGTTTTTAATCCATGTTCCTCCATGTACTTAGCCATTTTGTCGAGATCGACAGGTTCCTCGTCTCCTCCTTCCTCTACCACTAGGAATAACGTTGCCAAGGGACCTACAACAAATGATATCCTCGCATATCAATCGCGATTCTATATTATAAATATTTGTGAAACTTTCATCAAAAATAACTCACCTATTATATCCGGCATTTTTTGTACGACATTATTATCGAGCATTTCTTCCGAACTCTCGCCAGAATGATTTCGAATTGCGTAAAGATTTATAATAAACAAAGTGACATTTCTCCCGTTATCATCTTCTCCTTCTATAGGAGGCACAAGGTCCAATATCAGAGTTGAGTTTTCCTCATTGATATCGGTGGAGATTTCTGTGGAAAAACCACAACTCATTAAATTTATATATATATTTATATTCATCTGTCAAGTCGTTTGATATATACGACATATAATTTACGTCATGCAGAAAAGGATATAAAATAATAGTGAATTTTAACACTATCATCTATTAATTTTAAATAAATAAGAAATGTGTGACTTAAGATCTGTAAAATAAAAACTCACTTGATTCATCGGGTGCAGGTAATCCAGAAACTATTGCAGCAGCCAACAAGAGAAAGGCAAGAACGTTAGAAATAAGAGTAGCCATCTTAGGATTATCAGAAATCCGAAGATGCACTGCAACGCTATCTTTTGATGTTGCCGCTTTTATAGGCATCGATCCTTGCACGACAAAGATCTACACGAGGTATTATATAATTGAATACGTGAGTTGTTCGGAGAAGAGTCCACCACTCCATACTACTTTGTTATTTTTCCATTCGACCATTCACATTTTCGCATTTTGCGCTTTGGATTTTCCACGAAATTTCATGATCTAAATAGTTCTTCCTACAATGGCCATCAAAATTATTTGTTACTGATCAAAATATTCATAATTTCATTCTTATTAGAATCAAAAGTGTAAAATTATAATTTTTTTTCAATCAACCGCAAGGATATTATGAGGAAAGAATAAAATTGCAATTACGCGTGTACGTATGTGTCTGGATGTATATGTACACAAATCCATGGGTGTATCGTCGATTATTAGTAATGATATAATACACAAGATCTTGCATAAAAAAAAAAGAAAAATTAAAAATCCAATCTTATTGTATTGTTTTGATCTTAAACAAAAAAATTGAAGACTCATCAAAAATATTAAATAATCAATTAAACTCGAATATACACAATATCGATTTATAATAATGATTTGAGTTTGTTTTTATATCTCTTATAATTATGTAGTGTCATAATAAGATATTTTTTTGTAATCGATATGATTTAGAAATATTCAAAAAATAAAAGACTACATTTTTTTACACGGATTTATATAATTTTCTTATACCTTCCTTAAAGTTTGGATATTTATTATTGAAAATAACAATGAAGCGGTAATTGTCTTCTTGAGAAAAAAAAAAAAAAAGAGAAAAAAGGAAAAAGAAAAATGAACAGATCGATCCTGTACTATCGAAGGCGATAAATAATTTACGTTGGTAACTCGAAAATGAAGTAATGACTTCCGGGAATATGCATTAAGATTAAATAACGATACGTTATAAGCTCGTGCGTAGAAAAGTATTTACGTATGATGTGCTCTTCCTTCGGCATCATCTTTCGCCGTTACTCGATAACGAGTTGCATTGTTATCATCGGCATCTTATTTTTCTTCGTCACACAGAATAGACGTCATCTCTCATGAAAGTTCTCAAGAGGAGGTTCCCTTAATTGCGTGCTTGAGACTTTAAACGATCATCATCGAATCATCATCATTGTTTTGTAGATGGTAAAAGAAAAAAAATCAAATGATAAAAATGCTCGATAGAGTATATAATCATATGTACGCGAATACATTAAATATATTTCCAGAGGATGAATATGTGAAAAAAAAAGTTACTTATTTATATTATATAATTAAATTAAACATTTAAATATAAGAGGAGATAAAAAATCAAAGCGAATTGATTACTCGTTGTTGAATATCAACGTCTCATACGGGTTTTTCCAAGTGCAACTCGAGCGCATTGCATTAACGTAATTTAGATAAGTATGCATTTTTTATTCGCGATCGCTCATTTATTTCCACCTTGCACGGAGAAAAAAAGAAAAGGAGAAGAACATTGCATACTTTTCGAGATAGTTCGTTCGACGGTGCATCTATGCTGCATTGAACATCGACCTCTCATCTCGGCCTTGACCTTACAACGGTTAAACGACGACTTCTGCGGGCTTCCCTCTCTTTCCTTCCGTTTATTTTAAACGAGTCTTACTAGGCATTAACCACGAAACAAATTTGCAATTCGTCCCATGAATTTCGTTACAATGAGATTTAACTTGTAAAGCGCGCTGAGATGAGAACCTGAGCATCTATTAAGACAATTTATGTAGTAAATAATAACATAAATAATTTTGTTTATATTCCACATCGAGAGTCGTAATATGTAAACTATGATAGATTTTTTAATCGTTCGTTTTAATCTTTTATCTTAGAAATATTTTCAATAATATCAATTTAAAGTTACTTATGTGTGCATCACATCCGTGACATTATTATTTCAGTTTATAATAATAAACTAATTTATACGATAAAAATATACGAACAACGACGCGTGTGATCATTTCTTCGCAGTGAAAGGAAGAATCGAGGACAAAATGTCGCAAGAAAGAAAGGCATCCCTTGCGTAATCCTTATTATTAATATCATTTTGGTAATATCTCTACGCTGCAACGATACTTTTACCAATACTTGGAATAATCCTTTAGATAATATTGGTCTGCAAAACAAATTATTATTTGTATTATAAATCTTATAGTTTAATTATATAAATATAAAAATAAATAAATATTTTTTTATGTAATTTTACGCTAATCCGGAATTTATTGGCTACATTTTGTTGTTCGTGAATGATATTTAAAAAGAGAAATAGATAAATGAATATGTTATGAATCGTCCTGTAGATCGAGGAACAGTACGTCCCCTTGTTTTCAAGAGCAAGGAGACCGAGTCTGCAGGCGAATAAGGCTTGCGTATAGATGCAGTTAAATGCGTTTCATAGCCAAGACGCCTTGCATTTTCGTGATCTCTCTTCTTGAGACGGATGGCAAAAGGATCGACGATTATATACTTTTTTACTACTACTATCTTGTTGCACGTATCTTTTCTTTCTCACCGATGATTATCTTAACGATGTAGCTATATTTAGATTAAACATTGTAGAGCATATCTCTATAGTTACCATACTACCGTATAATGTATGCAACCTAAAAGAAAGACAGATTTCATCTTTTCCTTTCGCTTTTAACGTCTTCTTCCTTTCCTTTCGGCTTTTTTTTTTAATCCCTTAAATTCAAGCTAATTGGATCGTTTCCCAAGAAAATTATACGCACTATTAATACGTATCTAATTTGATGCTTAATTAAAGATCTTCCTGAAATTCACATTTTTTCTCCTTATTTCGTCTGAATGGAAATTATATTAAAATAGATCTATACATATATACGCGTATAAATTCGAATTTAAATCTAAATACATATATTAATTCTTTGTTTGTTTGTTTGTTTCTTCTAATAAAAATTCATGTTACATAAATCTATTTTTCGTCACGAGATAAATCTGCAACAACAACCCTAAATCATTTTTACGTAGAGCTTAATTACATTTCTTCGAAATAGTTTGCGCAATCCTGTTACTTGGAAAAAAGTGTGAGATCATTGGCCAGTTCCTATATACGAACTCGGTTGAGATTTGAAAGCAATGCCGATGACAGTAACGATCGTAACCTCGTTCATCTTTCCCCTCTCTCCCCCCCTCTCTCTCTCTCTTCCTCACTCTCTCTTTGTCTTTTTCTTACCGCGAAGAAGAGGGACGTTAATCCAGCTTATCCTTGACCATTGCTGTTCAGGTCAGATGGAAGAATAATAATCCTTCGAAGAGGATCCTCCTCGTTGAGTGAGGTATATATAGGAGAGGGACGAATAGATCACCAATTGTTTAATTTTTATTTGTTCCTTCATTTTTTTCCTTAAGAACTCGTTAGTCACAATCATTTTGCATATTCCACCTTATACATAGATATTTTCATAAAGGACGTTTTCTTCTTATTATCTACCAATCGTCGATTCGTTTCATCGGGCAACCGCAAAGGGAACTATATCGTTTACAAATCTGAGATATGGTGTCCATCGAGTGGGTAGTACAGCACGTCGGTCGAGATCGTTAACGTGGTTACTTAATGGCTACGAGTATGTAAGCTATAAAAGTCATCGAGTCAATAATTCAAACCATGTAACGCGACCATGAAAAAGGGTCATCTTACTTTTATTTTGGCATTGTATCAATTAGATTCATTAAAATTAATTACTTTATACATCTATCCTTTTTTTTTTCTTTTTCTTTTTCTTTTTTACTTTATATATTATTTGGATTAAATAAATAATAAATTAAAATATGAATTCTCTTTTGTGAGATTTGCAAATATAACACGTTATTTGTTTTTTTATTATAGACCATACGAATAATTAATTCCATAGTATTTAGTAATTGATCGGGGATTTTCTGAATTCGTACTGGTTTGTTGTTAGTCACTCGCACTTCCCCTATCAAAACATCGCGAATTATCGAAAGAAAAATTCATAGATACTGATTACTGCGAGTGTAGCGATCACGTTTCCTGTAATCAACTTTTTATTTTTCAGTCAATCGTTTGTTGCACGTATAAATGGGCACTGTGCACGTATGACGTTTTTTACGTTCCGATAATAATTATAGATTGTCTAATAATACTAATAATAAACCGTCCGTACTTCTCGTTGTAATATAATTACGGACTTACCATGTCCCCCTTGGTTGGTTATTTTATTATAATTATTAATATTATTATTATTATTATTGTTGTTATTATTATGTCATCGATTGGTCTAATGGGAAAATTCTAATTTAAATTCATATTGCAATTTTTTCTCACGTATTCGGTACTTTTTAATGAAAGGTACTAACGCAAATCAGAGATGAGTAAAAGTTTAGGTAATTTTTTTGGATGATATTTTTAGTTTCTTTTATGCCACATAATTTTTTGTGTCTATTTTATCTATGTCGATAAAGAAACTTACAGTTGTTAAGGAGGAAATCTTTTGTACCATCAGTTAATAGAAGCGTGAACAATATTATCTTTCGTAAATAATCTTCAATGATCGATAGATCATCTTTGAAAGATGGTGCTGCTGTTTTTTATGTTTTATGCATTTCATTGATTGTGCACTTTGACCTTCACCTATTTAAACGCCGGAACTGACGCATCTGGCAGTGACGTAAATGGGACAATCAATAAAATTTCTTGATACTCGGCGCATTGTTAATCGTCGATCTACGAAAATCCTTGACTTTCTTGTCCATAAAAATACTAAAATACACTTTGATTCATAGAATATAAATAATTGTAGGCGCAGTTCGTCATATTTTTAATTAAAGAGCGTTTAACGCAATGGCACGTGATACCACGATAAATAATCCCTGCGCAGTGAGATTTATGAGAATATTAAATAATTCTTTGTATATCTCAACGTGGATCAATTTCTTGGAATGCGTCCTGGAATAAGGATAACGTTGAGAAGGAAATAATAATGAACAGATCGTTAATCATCTATCGAACGCTACACGATCGGGAGTCAAATGAATGAGCTATTGCTAAAATATTGTCGGCAGATCAAAAAGAATGAAATTACGAAATATCTAACAAATCCGACACCGTATCCGCGATGTCCGATACGATACCTTCAACAACATCCGTTTCTTTTATTCGACGTTTGCCATTGAACGCTTGTTTGCTCCTGACAAATTCTCGTGGTATACTTTGAATATGAGTTTGTCCAGGAAATTTGACAAAGTCCACAGATAGTCCACCTTGATTCATGGAATTGACATTAGCAAAGTTGCCTTCGTTTCGTCTATAAGGATTTCGATGAACCGAAGTAACCAATCCCTGAGCATGAGCTCCGGAGTTCGAGGAGGCACCGGAATTAGCAGAACCTACGGCGATGTGCAAACCATCGCTTGACTGTCCTTGACCCTGCGACCACGAGTTAGGAATCGACGGATAGCCTTGAGCGTACTCGTGCTTTGAATGTGGCCTCCACTGATGTCCTTGAAAGTTGGTTCCCCCGTTAGGATACCATTCGTTCGTTTCAAGTTGTGGTCTACTTTGTTGCCAGCGTGAATCGTAGCCACCTAATGTTAACGTTATCGGTCGTTTTTGTCCATTGGTGATTGGTGCTTCTTGTATGGTTAATGTTGGTCTGTTGGAAATTGGGTGACCTGTTGACAAGTAATGTTAGTTATTGAATTATGCTAATGACTCGCGTTATATTCAACAGGTTTATGCATAGGTAATGATGAATATTTGAATATCGCACCAGGGAAATCATGGTTAGGTCCGATGTTGGTCCAGACTGGTTTTCTTAGACCTTGAGGTTGTCCTAGTATCAAACCATCGGAGAGAACTTGCACGTTGCTACCGGTAGATGCCGAAGAATGCACGGAACCGATTGATGCCTGCGAACCAGAACTTGCCTGACCGTTCTGTGCGTTTGCTTGAGAGGAAGCACTTGCTTGACCAACGCTGAATGAATTACTATTTGAATTTGACTGTCCACCAAATACAGGATGGTTTACGTTGAACGAATTAGCGTCTGATGTAGAAATTCCTGTCAATCCTGCAGCGAACGACGAGGATTGACTAGCAGATAACGAAGATCTAAAATAAACAATTAATCGAACTTTATTTAGTTTTCTATAAATCGAGTATTAACTATAGAAATATGAAATACTAGCAATTGAATTTTTTCATTCGATTCGATTTTTCAAAAATAAGATATAAGATATAAATAGTCATAAAAATAGGAAGGCATGTTCATTCCTTTTACTTTAGTGGCATACCCTGTATTCCCGAAGGAATTGGCTGCAGCCTGAGAGAAACTAGAACTCTGAGATACACTGATACCCCCGAGGCCAGCTCCCAATTGCAAAGTCTCGCTATTGTCCTGGCCAGCGTTTATGTTGAAGCTCGCACTGAATGGAAGAAATCGTGCCTCAGCTCTTCCATTTATCGTCTCTGCCTTTTTCCTGGTAACCTGCTCCGGTGTCAGTTCTGGTGGTGTGTTCCATCGTTTCTCGTGTTCATCGTTGAAATGCACGCGATCGTCTACGAGCATGAATGAAGAGGAAAAGAAACAATAGAGGAAGAAAAAAAAGAACAAAAAGGAGAAGAAGAAGAAGAAGAAGAAGAAGAAGAAAACATTTCCTTCGTGACACGCAGAAAAGAGGAAATTGTTCGAAAGGGAATGAACACGCTAAACCTTTTATAACCTTCCATTTCTTTTTCCCGTCACGTCGAACACGTTGGAAAATTTAGTCTCCGGTTTGTTCGTTTTCTCTCTATTTCTCTCTTCCCTTGTTTTCTTCTCTCTATTCGTTTTTTCGTTTTAACGAGAAGACAAGAAAGCTCAGCAAATTTTCTTTTAGATTCGGATTTTATATGTGGTCGTGATTGTATACACTTTTTAAGTGAATTCAAATATTTATTTAAAAATTCTACATTTTCTCTCTAATTGTATAAGTATAGATTAATAATTGTGAAATAAATACAGAACAAAGTAATATTCCTATAAATTATAAACTACTCGTTAGCTTATTCTTGATTTTGAAATTCTATGACATAGACAACTTGTACATGTTTCAAAAGATAGTATCTTTCAAACTAATTTTCACATTTCAGATACATGTCACGATAAAATAGGAGAAAAAGAAACAATTCATGTTAACTGTCAAACGTCTAGATTTCAAGTACTCCGTATGAAATAAAATATAATCAATACTTCGATGTTCCAATATCACACTGCATTCATTTGTGTAATATCTATCGTCCAAGTTTCCTGGCAAAGTTTCAAAATTGTCACCATTTCACTTTAAATTTTCTATAATAATCCGAATCACATTTGTGTGTGACACAGTTAGAATACTTTTACGAGTTCACTTTATTTTGAAAATGTAACACATTTTATTTCCATATAAAATTCACTTTCTAAAAACGATCCGAGGTTCGATTGGAAAAACTATTTCTTATAACTCGCGTTTAAATCGATGAAATGAAAGTTACAAGGATTTTCACTCCTTCTCAAAGAAATTAACCGCCGAAGTGCACATTTCTTATGTTGGAAAAGAAAAATTCATTTCGACCGAGTGAGTAAAATGTTTTTCAAATCATTGTCGATAGGTCATTACTTACCTGCTCTCGCGAGCACAACGACGGAAGAAAAAATAAGAAGTAGGTACTTAACGCACGATGCCATGTCTAAAACCGTTCTGAGTTCTCTGTGACTCTGCTCTACCCTTTTTTAATGTATACGCATGACCTTAAAAGTCACATTTAAATTCTAGTCGTCTCTGTCCACGTAATATCTCCTTTTCTTTTTCTTCTTCTTCTTCTTCTTCTTATTCTTAAGTGTTATTCGTGGTCATCGAACGAACGAGCATCTCGATTTTCATCGAATTCATATAACCAATAACATAATTTCATAAATTCAATAGTATTCTAGGTAAAATAACTGTTTATTTCTTCTCCCTCGTAGAAAGAAAGAAAGGTCCATCGTTTCTTCGTCTTCTTATTTGTTTTTTTTTTCTTATTATATTTTAACGAGATGGATACGGAACGTCGTTTGAATACGACGTATGTGACGCTATAGTGGCCTTGTGGAATCCCAGAAGATTGTTTCTGACTAGGCTCTGTCAAAGTGTACGAGACTTGTGCAATAATCGTACAGTTTCGATGATAGAATCGATAAAAACACATTCGGATAATCACATATCGATAAACACATACACGCACAATCGTTACAGAAAATAGTTAATAGATAGAGAGAGAGAAATAGAAAGATAGAACTATTACTATCCTATGTGGATGTTGTTAATGTACGAGATAGATTAGAAATGAATCGAAGAATTAGAATGTTTAAACATGTAGTAGTATACGTAGGTTCATTCTAGAATATTACTAGATTCGGAAATGTGTATGAAGAATGTATACTACTCTGCGAATGTGTATGTATATCAGGTGAATATCAATTAAGATTAGACGAGCAAATATCTCGGTCACTGTGAATGATTGTGAAATCTTTATGAGAAACTTATGTTTAATTCAAGAAAGAACTGATATAATACTTGATGATTTGCCTATACAAAAGATACAGTAGATCAAGGTAGTCTGAAAACATTCTACATTTTTTCTTTTACACCGATTATTGTGAATAAAAGCATCTTATTTTTTTATCATCGAAAGAATAATCGATCAATTCTTATATTTAGACTTTAAGTGACTCACTGTATATATATATATCTGCTGGAAATACACATACGTATGAAGAATAAAATATATATCATTATTGATACGATGACTAATTTTTTATATGATAATAAAATTACAATATCTATACGTATAAAAAGTACATTCGAAATGTTCATAATGTTTCTCTCGATACTAATGACAATTATTTTTACAGAATAAATTACTACATTGTGTGATATGATTACAATTAGAAAAAATAAAATTAATTTTTGTAATAATACTAAACAATTCTTTTATTGAATAAAACAATATATTTGGAGTCATAAGACATTATATGACTTGGAATTATCTTAAAGACTTCCAGTTTGATTAATCATAATTTCGAATGAATACGTGATAACATTGAAGAAATGCATACTCAAGAATATTTTCTCGTGTTTTAATAAATAATGTATTAACATGGAATTTATCATTTCTTCATTTCATTTTTCTTCTTATTATTTTTATACCCGGAATTAAGATTACTATACATTACGTCAATGAATACTTTAAGATAAATCGTATAAATTATTTTGCGACTTATTATTTATTACAATTCATACATTGCCGTACATTTAAACAATCGACTCTGTGGTCTCACTGACAACAGATGATAATGTACTTAAAATTATATCAGGTGTAGAATTTTCTTGACTAACCGATTCGATCGATACTGCTTCGATTCCAGCGTTAGAATTTACGGTAGTACTTTCATTTTGTTCGATTGTTTCAGCCCGAGTTTCTAACGTGGTCGATGGAATTTCTATTTCTGAGGAAAATGATGTACTAGAAATAATATTTGGTGTAGAATTTTCTTGACTAATTAAATCGGTCGATATTTGTGTGGTTTCGATGTTAGAATTTACGGTAGTACTTTCATTTTGTTCGATTGTTTCTAA